ACTGCAGTTGTGTAGATGTCTAGCTTCTCAATATAGACATAATAGCATCTTTATAGAGCTTAATAGTGAATCTTTACGGATGCACAACTTCATATAATAATCTTTGTAGAGCTTCATAAGTGAAACTTTATGAATGCATAGCTTTATAACATAATATTTTTTACAGCTTTATAAGAGAAACTGTACAGATGCATAACTCTACATCATAATCTTTGAAGAGCTATAAACCTGAAACTTCGCAAAGGCTTGATACAGGTCTGAACATAAAACCTGCTGGGAACATTATAACAAGGAAGGTCAAAGAGCACGTATTTGCAAACAGGAAAATATGTTTAATTAGTTTATGAACTTTACGCCCGTGAAGATTGCATACGACAATACCTGGTGATAGTAACCTGAGTACCAAATATACAACATTTGCATACAAATCCTCATCATTGTAGGTTGAAAAAAGGTTTGTGAATATTGCAGCAGAAGGTGATGATAACAGTGTCGATGATAACAGTGCAGTAAAGATATCAAGTATGGCAATCAAAGAACAATATAATGCACACAAAGTTTAAGAGAGATCAAGAGAAAAGATGAAATAACTAACACAATGAGGAATAACTAAAATAAGAATGAATAACTAATGACTACATTATATCTACATCCCAGGGTAGAAGGAATAACTAACAACTATTATCTGCACAATTAGGATAAAAGGAATAACTAAAAACTATTATCTCTGCAATTCAGGGTAAAAAGAATAACTAAAAACTATCATTTATTTGCAAACTGAGATAACAGAAAAAAATGTTCTCTGCATCCCACAAGTCAAAGGGAAACAAGTAGTTGTAGTAAAGAAAGCAGTTCACAGTTTACCTCCCCTCTTTAGAGTATTCAGCATTTTTTAAAAACCACTGAATCTAAATTGCTGACAACTCAATTCTGTGATTCACTGTCGCTGTGATTCACTGTCGCTGTGATTGACGGTTGCTGTGATTGACTGTCGTTGAAAGCTGACATCAATGTAATGTAAAAAAGTAAAGTAAAGATCCCTTTACACGCCTTTAGGCGCATCGGGCATACGGGAAGAGCACCCATATTTTTACAGACCAATCGGCACTCGGTGGGTAATGTGGTCAGCATTACGCCGGCCGTCTTTACTTTCCCAGGACAGCCCATCCTGGTACCCATTTGAAACTGGGTCGACCTGCACGTCCCATACCACGATAAAAATCCACGCAGCCCACGCAGGTTTCGATCGTGGTACGTTGGATTACGAGTCGGACTCGCAACGCTTTAGCCACGGACGCCGCTCAATGTAATGTGACACAATAATAAACATTCTCTATCTGTAAACTGTGCAAGATTGCATTAGACAGCAAAGCCACATAAATGCATATAAAGTTTAATATACTCTGTGGCGTGCATCAGTTCAGAGTTACAACAAAATTAAGTCCCATTAAATAGGCGTAATTTTTTTTTAAAAATCTCAGCTGACAGACAGATACAAAAACTGAACAGAGGGGTTCTGCATACAGTCAGTCAGTCCTGTTTAAAGTACTTGCAGGAAAAGTGGTAGTGTTTTCCCCCCCAAAAAGACCTGTTGCAGCACCCAAAAAAGCAAAAACCTAGTAGGATTTTTCAGGATGCTTTCAATATATTCCCTATATCAAAATAAGCCTTAGCAGGATCATCAGCTATAATGAGTGACTTGCTGACGAATGGCAAGCCGGAGTACAGAGGCCAATTGTGGGCACTTGATAATAAATAGATGAGGATAATTCAAGGTACGTCACTCTTGTGAAAAAAAGAAGCAGAATGTTGGCACCAGCAGTTTCTCGTCGATTTTGGCTGTGCCATCATTCTTTAAGCCTCATAATGTTTGCTGCCGAACCTGTCTGTTGAGTCTTCAATGAGCATATGTTCTCAAAGTTCCAGAAGAAGATGACATGACTATTTGAATCAATTTACAATTCTGTACATGAAAAAATGTGGTTATCTGGGGGGGGGGGGGGGGGGGGGGGGAGGAAGAAACATTCCCTGAAAAAAAAATCCCGAGTGCATTTCTGAAGCAAAAATTACTATAAAATAAGTCTTAGTTTTGCAGAAACGTAGTAGTAGTAGTAGTAGTAGTAGTAGTAGTAGTAGTAGTAGTAGTAGTAGTAGTAGTAGTAGTAGTAGTAGTAGTATTGGTGGTGGTAGCACCGATAACAACAGCTGTAAAGTACAGAGTAAAGAACTACTGTACACATTAGAAGGCACTTTATATATGTAGGCTTGCGTGCGTACGTGCGTGCTTGTGTGGCATTGTTTGTACCTTACTATATATATTTATAAATGCTGAAATATTTTGCTCATATCAAGCGTCATTGCGGATTTGAAAAAATAATAGCAGGAGGCATGGTACCAGCCGACCAACACGAAGGTGTGTACAGGAAATAAGTGACTCAATGAATATAAGCAAGAACTCTTTTCCTAACCTCCAATGACATGGATTTATTTCATAAAATCTTCTTTATTTGATAAAATGCAGTTTTGGCTTGTCCTGTTCTGTTCTTTATCTCTGTGATACATCCTCCATTGGACGTTATCCATGTACCTAAATATTATAAATTTCTGTACTTGACCCAAAATAACGTCTTTGACTTTTATTATACATTTATGCACTATTCTTTTCTTGGAAATCACAATTACTTCTGTCTTCCCATTATTTAAACTAAGGCCAATTTTTTTCACTTTCTGCTACCACCATATCTATCAATTCCTGTAGTTCTTTCTGACTTGTCCCTATCAAGACAGCGTCATCAGTATAATGCAGGTTGTGTATGATATGACAACCAACCACAATTCCTGGCATATCCATGACAGATCTCATTATATATTCGCTGTATAATGAAAACAAATCAGGTGATAGTACATATCCTTGTCTTACTTCCCTCTTTATGCTTTGAAATGTTCCCCAAATGGTTATTAATTCGTATAGCTGCTCTTTGCTGCCAATAAATGTTCTCTATAATTCATAAATCTTTTCCATCAATGTTTAGTTTTTCCAAAGTTTGATTTGTTTCTTCATGTTTCACAGTCGCATGCTTTTAGTTTGGTCAATGAAACATAAGTAAAGATCATTTTTTTTTTTTTTACTTCTATAGTAGCTCTTTCTGAAAGTCTTAAGGATGTAAATGGCATTGTTTGTACTTGACTATATTTATATATGTGGGACTGCACTTACTGTGCATCTTTCACGGCTACTGAGATGTTTTGGTCTGTTACAAAAAGATTTAAACTGTCATGAGAATATAGCTGTTTTTAGAGGATACAGCAAACCTGCTGAAAGATCTGCGTACAGATGTGTAAATTTGTTCAATGTAAAGCATCAAAAGCATAGGAACAGTTTGATAGAAACCCCAAAAACAAAGCAAAATAAAAATGGTAATTAGAAGAGAAAAGAAACTCTTCCTCAGAAAGAAAAAAAAAAGCTGTTGGAAATTCAATAAACTGCAGATTTCAACGCAAGAACAAGGTAATACAAATAAAAACTCTAGTACACAGTTAATGAACACTGCAGCAGGGGACTATGCAATTCTGTCCAATCAGGGGACTATGAAATTCTGTCCAATCAGGGCACTATGAAATTCTGTCCAATCAGGGTACTATGAAATTCTGTCCAATCAGGGTACTATGAAATTCTGTCCAATCAGGGGACTATGAAATTCTGTCCAATCAGGGGACTATGCAATTCTGTCCAATCAGGGGACTATGAAATTCTGTCCAATCAGGGCACTATGAAATTCTGTCCAATCAGGGTACTATGAAATTCTGTCCAATCAGGGTACTATGAAATTCTGTCCAATCAGGGGACTATGAAATTCTGTCCAATCAGGGGACTATAAAATTCTGTCCAATTAGGGGACTATGAAATTCTGTCCAATCAGGGGACTATGAAATTCTGTCCAATCTACTCTGTGATTATCATTTGTTCCACCTGAACCACTAAGCCAGCGGTTCTCAACCTGCCGGAAGCGACCCTTTTTTGGGGCAAACGACCCTTTTTTGCGGCGAACGACCCTTTTTTTGTGGCGAACTACCCTTTTTGGGGGGCAAACGACCCTTTTATGGGGCAAACGACCCTTTTTGGGGCCAGCGACTTTTCACAGAGGTTGCATAATCCACAGGAAAACACATAATTCATGGAAATTATAAAGAAAAATAATTGTTTGGTGGTCACCACAACATGATGGAACTGTATTCAAGGGTCACCACAACATGAGGGAACTGTATTCAAGGGCCACCACAACATGAGGGAACAGTATTGAAGGGTCACCACAACATGAGGGAACAGTATTGAAGGGTCACCACAACATGAGGGAACAGTATTGAAGGGTCACCACAACATGAGGGAACAGTATTGAAGGGTCACCACAACATGAGGGAACTATTCAAGGGTCACCACAACATGAGGGAACAGTATTGAAGCGTCACCACAACATTAGGGAACAGTATTGAAGGGTCACCACAACATGAGGGAACAGTATTGAAGGGTCACCACAACATGAGGGAACAGTATTGAAGGGTCACCACAACATGAGGGAACAGTATTAAAGGGTCACGACATTAGGAAGGTTGAGAGTTACTGCTCTAAGCTCAGGATAAAGCAGAATCCTTGAGTCTTGTACATCTGCATTTGTGTATGTCCCAATGTCTTATCTGCCAGACTGTGTTCAGTGTAGTGTCCTGGTGAATCAAACTCCAGACACCCACAACTGCTGGCAAGTACCACTCTACCAGGTCTCCCTGTATTCAAGTGCCTGAAGCTGATCAAGTGCCTGAAGCTGTACAAGTGCCTGAGGCTGTGTCTGAAGCTGTATGAGTGCCTGAAGCTGTACGAGTGCCTGAAGCTGTACAAGTGCCTGAAGCTGTACAAGTGCCTGAAGCTGTACAAGTGCCTGAAGCTGTGCAAGTGCCTGAAGCTGTATGAGTGCCTGGGGCTGTACGAGTGCCTGAAGCTGTATGAGTGCCTGAAGCTGTGCCTGAAGCTGTTCAAGTGCCTGAGGCTGTACAAGCGCCTGAGGCTGTACCAGTACCTGAAGCTGTACAAGCACCTGAAGCTGTACAAGCACCTGAAGCTGTACAAGCACCTGAAGCTGTACAAGCACCTGAAGCTGTTCAAGTGCCTGAAGCTGTGCCTGAGGCTGTACAAGTACCTGAAGCTGTGCCTAGAGCTGTACAAGCACCTGAAGCTTTACAAGCACCTGAAGCTGTACAAGCACCTGAAGCTGTACAAGCGCCTCAAGCTGTACAAGCGCCTGAAGCTGTACAAGTGCCTGATGCTGTACAAGTGTCTGAAGCTGTACAAGCACCTGAAGCTCTACAAGTGCCTGAAGCTGTACAAGTGCCTGATGCTGTACAAGTGCCTGAAGCTGTACAAGTGCCTGATGCTGTACAAGCACCTGAAGCTGTACAAGCACCTGAGGCTGTGCCTGAAGCTGTATGAGTGCCTGAAGCTGTACGAGTGCCTGAAGCTGTACAAGTGCCTGAAGCTGTACAAGTGCCTGATGCTGTACGAGTGCCTGAAGCTGTACAAGCACCTGAAGCTGTACAAGCACCTGAAGCTGTACAAGTGTCTGAAGCTGTACAAGCACCTGATGCTGTACAAGCACCTGAAGCTCTACAAGTGCCTGAAGCTGTACAAGTGCCTGATGCTGTACAAGTGCCTGAAGCTGTACAAGTGCCTGATGCTGTACAAGCACCTGAAGCTGTACAAGCACCTGAGGCTGTGCCTGAAGCTGTATGAGTGCCTGAAGCTGTACGAGTGCCTGAAGCTGTACGAGTGCCTGAAGCTGTACAAGTGCCTGAAGCTGTACAAGTGCCTGAAGCTGTACAAGTGCCTGAAGCTGTGCAAGTGCCTGAAGCTGTATGAGTGCCTGGGGCTGTACGAGTGCCTGAAGCTGTACAAGTGCCTGAAGCTGTACAAGCACCTGAAGCTGTACAAGCACCTGAAGCTGTACAAGCACCTGAAGCTGTACAAGTGCCTAAAGCTAGCATGGTATTGAAGCATCCACCTATGTAGCCATGAAGTCTCAATCCTGACCAGGCAGAGCCACGTGAAAGAGAAACACACATCAGTAGAACAGAAACTGTTTGTAATATTGAGAAGTCTCAGCTTGTCTCTTTCATTCATTCATTCATTCATTCCCGTTTCAGTTAGGCCAACAACCAAATATTTATTTCCTACTTCAAAGATTAATCATTCATCCCATCCATTAATAGCTTGGCTATCAAAACTGGGATGTTTTTGTATTTCTACATTCGTACTGAAGAATTCATTGGCTATGAAATCCCATAGGGCTGGAGAGCTGGCCGGATAAAGAGACATTCAGGTGTGCTGTAACGAGAGCAACGTTCTGTAAACAATCTGCCGATTGATTAATATCATGTTTCTATTTGTATTGTTTTGATCGTGATCTCTGATGCATGTAAAATAGCGTCCTGGTGTTCAAACAGAATGGCAATGGTGATGCTCAAGTTTTAGCTTGAGGATTAATAATTGCACAGGTGCCTCATACATTATTAAAAATAGCCATGCTCCTCGTTAAGCTTCCAAGTTATAGTTTTGGTTCAGTGGATTGGGTCTACAGTCAAAAGTTCAGTGGATTTGGGCTAGGGTCAAAGTTCAATGTATTCGGGCTGCAGTCAATGTGTCTCCTATTTACATGAAACTAAAATGAGAAAAATATCCCTTCTGTCTGTTGCCACTAACAAGATAAAAGCTAAATAAACAATCAGTTACACATGGCATTGAGTAAAAGGACCCAGTCATTGCTGGATCAGTAACAACAACAGAGAGAATGATACAAGAGTACTGGAACTGTGTTCTCATGTCAACAACTCATTTACTCACATAAAGATATAATATTTGTTCACATTTTCAAAGATGCCAGATTACAATAGTTGTCAACAAGAGTGGGGGAAATAAAAGCAACAACACACAAACTAAAAATAAAACAATATTAAGAAGAGCCGATGTGATAATTACAAAGTGATGAAGTTTCTGCGTATTCTTGGATAGAAACAAAGCAGGTTTTACAGAGCATTGTGTCACTTCCCCGAACAACAGGTAACAACGCTATGTTCAAATCTTCATCAGGGTCGACAATCTAACAAAAAATAAAATTACTTTACATTCTTCTGCCTTTCATACTCCAATACAGCATATCTATTGACAATATTTGGGTAAGTAAAGTAAAGGTCCCTTTTCCACGCCTTTAGGCATATAGAGCATATAGGGCTAGACCTATATTTGTATTAACCATTCGGCACAAGATGGGTGATGAGGTCACCATCACGCCGGCTTCCTTTACTTCCTGGGACTGCACCAGGTAACCCACTCAAGGCTGGGTCGATCTGGAAGTCAAGGTCATTTTTTAAAAACAGTTCGGCTCCGCCAGGGAGCGAACCCACAACCCTCCAATCAGCGTGCGACAATATTTGGGTACTGGACAACATTTTTATCTGGGTAAAAGATTCAACATCACAGCACTCAGGACAAGCCCACATTAGCTCCGTCTCCTTCAACAGTCTCCATACTGATGATGGTAATGATGTCATTTGGTTAGCTATATGTCTGCGTGCGCATCCCCCCCACCCCCCCGGCAAATGAGTGGTGCCCACAGACACTCCCTGCTGCTACATATAGCGCTTAACAGACTCACTTAAAGCCCTCCTAGCATTTCCTGTCTTCTGCAGCTGCCATAACCTTAATATTTGGCAGCCTCCACATTTTCTTCTCTGCGAGTTTCTGGTTTCCTATTGCATCAGCCATGTGGGTTCCATAGAAAGAACCTGCTAGTATTGCTGTCCACAAGTTTTTTCTAAAACGGATCTTTCTAGCTGTGCCTTTGTCTCACCTCTTGATCCTCAGCAATTTTTTTGTTATATCTGTAAGCTCTGCGTTCGTTTTTACATTATTTCCTTTACGCTATTACTGTATGGTGTTTACAAAATTATTTGTACTAACAAACAGAAATAATGCAAGTATTTAATAGCCTATCATTTGCCAGCATTAAAAAGTTGAAAAATTAAGTTTTTGTGAGAAAATGGGTGCAGAAAGAGAGTTAACGAAGACACTGACAAGCAAATATAAGGTAACGATCACCATAATCATGGATCAGGTCAGTGGTCTTGTCCCCATTTATATAGCTAAGCCATCCAGGTGTTTTTATCTTTCCCTTCCCCCTGCTCTTTTCCACTAATGTTGGCAGTCGTTCCCAAGTCCAGTCATTCCCCCAAGTTCAAGGGTCAACTCATTCTCAAAACATATAAACTGATATTTTAAAATAAGGCTATATGTGCACAGCTCTCACTGACATCCATATCCATGCATTCAATAAAATCTACAACATAACGATACGCAAACCACACTAATGTAAAACCTCAACTAAAATGGTTTTCTAGATTAAGTTGGCTACAAAGCAATCCAGTTTCAGATGTGAACATCAGAAGGTGTGCAAACAAGTAACGGTTAAAATTCTACACCAAATGCAAAAGACATTCCTACTTATCTTGACATGTGACATTAGCATGATGGGCTTTCACTTAATTATCCTGACATATGACAGACATTCCGTCACTTTAAAAGAAAAAATAATCTTCTCCTCTACATTCCGGGCCCTTGAGTTTCATTGCTGTAGATATCCCCTGCCTTCATTCATCTCTATGAATGGTCTTATTTGATCATCCTGAGGCATGAAATACTTTGAGTAGCCACTTAATAATCCTGACAGATAGCAGAAATACTTTGAGTAGCCACTTAATAATCCTGACAGATAGCAGAAATACTATAAGCACCCACTTAATAATCCTGACAGATAGCAGAAATACGTTGAGTAGCCACTTAATAATCCTGACAGATAGCAGAAATACTTTGATTAGCCACTTAATAATCCTGACAGATAGCAGAAATACTTTGAGTAGCCACTTAATAATCCTGACAGATAGCAGAAATACTATAAGCACCCACTTAATAATCCTGACAGATGGCAGAAATACTATAAGCACCCACTAAAAATCTTGACATACAACACTTTGAGCACTCATTAATAATCTTGACATATGGCAGAAATAGTATCATCTCCTTCCATTAATCCTGACATATGACAGAAATACTATGGGCCTCTTCCAACAATTCAGACATATGGCAGAAATTATCGGAGCCATGGCTAATTTTTTTCACATATGACAGATATACTATATATAATCTTCCTCCAATAATCCGAACATATGAGAGAAATACTCGGAGTCATGGCTAATATTCTTCACATATGACAGATATACTATATATAATCTTCCTTCAATAATCCTGACATATGACAGAAATATTATGAGCTTCTCCCAATAATCTCGATGTATGACAGAAATATTATGGTTCAGATGTCAGAGGTAATGCCCATGACCTGTTAAGGCTTGTGAAATCTGCAGAAAAAATGACAGACAAATTGATTAGTGGATGGTAAAACAGCGGTTGCTGAAATGTAAGGTTAAAAATATTTGTAAAATGTATGGTTACATATGTTGCTAAAATATATCACATGAGTTGTTAAAATCTTTCGCTAAATGTGTTTCTAAAATATACAGTTAAATGTGATACTAACATATATGGTTAAATGTGATACCAAATTTTTATGGCTGAAAGTGTTACTAAATTATGTGGCTAAACATGTTATTTCTGGCTACATAGGCGGACCTGGAGAGGAAAAAAGGAGCTTTGCAACTCAGTTTCCCACTATCCTTCCCATCCTTTCCTCATGCTTCCTTGCCTTTTATGTCCAGCATTCCCCCCATCTCCCCCCTCCCTCCTCCCCCCAAACACACACAGATTAGGATAATTTCATTCCATCCAGCCTTTTCTGTCAAATTTAATCTTTTCCATAAAGTGGTCCCGTACAATCTGCAGTTCTAAATAGTCTGTTTTTTTTTTTTTTTTTAACATTTTTTTTTTTCTGCTAAAGGGAAACGTTTTATATTTTGTTTCTCTCACTTTAAAAAAAAAAAAAAATTCAGAATATAATTAAATTATGCCTCCTAAACTCTAGGAAAGACAGAGAAAAATGGCAACATTTCTCGGTGAAACTTTCCTTACCTGGTCATATGCCGACTGCCTTCATGTACGTCCATCTCTTTGCTCTTGAACTCGTTCAACTCTTTCCGAATTGCAGCCTGGCAAGAAAACCAGACGCAAATAATTACAAATCATGTCACAAACGTCACAGCTAGAACTAAATAAATCCAGGACTTTATTTTTCTAGGAAAAACTTTGTTGGTTTCCCCACAAAGTCAGTCAGTCAGTCAGTCAGCCAGCCAGCCAGCCAGCCAGCCAGCCAGCCAGCCAGCCAGCCAGCCAGCCAGCCAGCCAGCCAGCCAGCCAGCCAGCCAGCCAGCCAGCCAGCCAGTTAGTTAGTTAGTTAGTTAGTTAGTTAGTTAGTTAGTTAGTTAGTT